GTGCAAGACATGAATGCCACCACATTGACTAGTTTTCAATCGACTTAAAAGCCCCGCTTCTAAGGAGAGTAGTTTAAGCACAGTAAATAAAATCTGCATCATAGGTTCTTGACTTCATGGATCGGCTTGAATCCTGAGCAGCAGACGACCGTTTGCCATTTATTTCACGTCTGAGACCTCGTGAGACAAAACCTTCCCTGACTTAGTCAAGGCTCCGAGCAGCGCTGCTCCAAAACACTTGATCTTGGGTCTCAGACAACTTTCTTAGGTATGGGTTATATTTAAACAGTTCCTGAATACATACATGCAACCCATCTGCTACCTTCATGACTCACTTGTCTTCCAGCGTATTTCTGTGAAGTATAACAAGTGATCTCCACCACCTGCTTGGCTTTCGATTGTAGAATTTGACAACCGAATATTTAGACTGCTTGTGCTAACTATTCATTTAAAGGGACCCTATTATGCTGATTAGAGGGTTCATATTTGTTATTTGCCTCTGCTGTGATATGTTTACGTGCTTTAATGTTCAGATTGGTTAGCTGGCCAGCTCTGTTGTGATTGGACAACTGCTTAGACATGTCCCAGTCCTTAGCCTATCACGTACAATGTGTTGTAGCCCTAGCAAATAGAAGCGGGAGTTAGGGCTGCACGATATTGGAAAAAACTGACATTCCCGTGTGTGTGTGTGTGTGTGTGTGTGTGTGTGTGTGTGTGTGTGTGACTGTCTTCTTCTGAGTCTCTGCCTGGTGCTTTCTGCCTGTTGACTCTTTCTGNTGACATTTTTACAAATAAAAAATATACATGCAATACAAATGTATTGCACAATGCGCTTTATTTGAGCTGAGTGCCTGTTAATAGCTTGCCACAGGCAAAGCTCAGCTCAAATAAAGCGCATTGTGCAATACATTTGTATTGCATGTATATTTTTTATTTGTAAAAATGTCAGTTAGAGCTGAAAAGAATAAAGATATTTTTGTTATCTAAACGTTTGACCTCTTTCTTTTACAATTTTGGAATTGAAACGGGGAATCGATAAGAACTGGAATCGATAAGCGGAATCGGAATCAATACCTCACATTAATAATAATAATAATAATAATAAATTACATTTTTTATTAGAGCGCTTTTACAGGTGCTCAAAGCGCTTTACAAATACACATTACACATATTAGACATGTAAGAGTCATTACTGTGGACACAGGAGCAAATGCGGGTAAAGTGTCTTGCCCAAGGACACAACGGCCTGACGCAGTGGCGGCCGAGGTGGGATTCGAACTGGAGTTCACCAACGCCCCTNTAGGTGTTATTCTCTGTGAAGGCCTCTCTGATGCATTGTCAGGGTGTCCACGGGGTCTTAAAAAGTATTACAAGTTGATCAATCAATTTAGTGAAAATTAAGGTTATTAAAAAATTAAATAATCCACTTTTTCCAAGGTATTACATTTTGCAGCTTGTTTTCAATAAGTATATAAATTGTCCAAAGAGGTTGTATTCTACAGTGTTCCTGAATGTAATCACTGCGTAGGTGTGTAGTGTGATTCTGTGTAGTTTATTTATGGCATCCCGTTGGATTGGATGTCATCTGAACAGGACATCGCACGCTCACTGCTTGATAGCGCGCGAAGCTCCGTTTACGCCGGTTGTTAAGCAACATCGTTATGGGGACATTTGCATCCAAACGGTTGGAAGATAAGGAGGAAGGACAATCAATACTGTATATAGTAAAGTGTGTCGCCAATAGGGATGGGTATCGTTTGAAATGTATTGATTCCGATTCCGGTTCTGCTTATCGATTCCCCGTCTCAATTCCAAAATTGTAAAAGAAAGAGGTCAAANCATCAGATCAAGGGGCGTTGGTGAACTCCAGTTCGAATCCCACCTCGGCCGCCACTGCGTCAGGCCGTTGTGTCCTTGGGCAAGACACTTTACCCGCATAATGCGGGTAAAGTGTCTTGCCCAAGGACACAACGGCCTGACGCAGTGGCGGCCGAGGTGGGATTCGAACTGGAGTTCACCAACGCCCCTTGATCTGATGACCAACACTCTAACCACTGCGCCAAAACCGCCAAATTGACTATATACAGGATCGATTGTCGTTCCTCCTTATCTTCCAACCGTTTGGACGCAAATTTCCCCATAACGATGTTGCTTAACAACCGGCGTAAACGGAGCTTCGCGCGCTATCAAGCAGTGAGCGTGCGATGTCCTGTTCAGATGACATCCAATCCAACGGGATGCCATAAATAAACTACACAGAATCACACTACACACCTACGCAGTGATTACATTCAGGAACACTGTAGAATACAACCTCTTTGGACAATTTATATACTTATTGAAAACAAGCTGCAAAATGTAATACCTTGGAAAAAGTGGATTATTTAATTTTTTAATAACCTTAATTTTCACTAAATTGATTGATCAACTTGTAATACTTTTTAAGACCCCGTGGACACCCTGACAATGCATCAGAGAGGCCTTCACAGAGAATAACACCTACTCCAACTGAGGGGGGAAAGGAAGGATACATTCCCAAATCAGTGAGTTTAATCCGGAGATGAATGAAAAAGAAAGCAACACCCACTCATACCTCCATGCTGTGGGCTTAATCCTCAACAAATAATCTATGTCTTCAACCTCATTCCACTTTAATGACTGGAATAGCCCTCCATGCAGCAATATGTATTTCTTCTACAAATACAAGCATCGATCACTAACATGAAAAACTCAAATAAGGTCTCCTCTTTTCCCTGGAGACCTTTTGCAGACCGCCACGTTTAACTACGGTAATTTGAAGATGTTTTGTCAATAAATACAAACATGTATCAGATACACAATACTCATCAAGCAGCGACCATTTCATAAAAATGGAATATTTAAAGACATAATTGCCATTAAAGTTGGCTTGAATGCCATGACACTGTTCATTTTTACATGCAACAGTGTCTTATGGTTAAACCTGTTTAAGCGTGTACACCGGACTGGCAAATCTGGATCGATCCAACTTTACCAACTACGCTGAAATCAAGACTTATTGATGGTGTTTCACATATTCACCCAGTGCCCCTTTCTGCAGCCACCAGCCCAGACTCAGGCCAAAACCTCTCATGAATCTATTCATAAAATAACTTTTCTAATCGACTCCACCATGACATGGGAGCAGGAACTAATGTATTGTGATATGGAGCGGGGGATGAAAGAGAAACCTTGTGTGATTCACCAGCAGAGCAATCTACCTTAGACAAAAAGAAAAGCGGCAAGCATTCAGAGTTATGCCATTAGCTTATATAAATGGTGATGCAGCGCACAGCACAGGATTACATGTCATTGCAAAAAGTAAGATCACATTGAGGAACAAGCTGAAAGATAACCTGGCAGCAGGTTTAAACAAGAAAAACTTCAAGCATAAATAAATGAAAAATAAGTAACACTAAATTGCCTTAAAGAGCATCTTGCAGTTTTTTTTTCTTTCTACATTTATGCTTAAACTTGCTTGAAAATTACAATTAAAAAAAGTGAATGTAGGATTTGATATGTTTTCCGAGACATAAGGGCAGGAATCCAGAGGGAAAGGAACAATTTTGAGCTCTGCTCTTAAAAACGGCTTATTTTTTAAGGTCATACGTCAAACGCGTCATATTACATCACACAGGGGAAACATCTCCGCTCTCTGACCGCGGGTATAGTTAGTAGTTGCGTTGAGTTGAGCGGTTGTGTTTTAGTGAGCTGGTATTTTTCGGTAGTTTTACATTGTATTTCACCATTTGTAATCATGGTGCAGTATTGTGTTTGTGCAGGTTGCACAAATACCAGCCTGTCAGGACATCGAGTCCACAGTAAAAAGGACCGNACTGCCTCACTGGTTCCGTTGAGTTTCAGAGACTAACGCCAGATGCAGCCGTAACGGAAACGGGTGCGGGAAACACAGCTTCACCGGCTACCTGCTTAACGGAAAAACGAGGAAGTTCAGCGTCGTACCGGAGCGGGGGGCGAGAACACTGCCTTCACCTGGTGAGTTAGAGACGAATGCAGATGCAGCGTAACCGGGAGCGGTGTGCGGGAACACAGCATCACCAGCTACCTGCTGAACGGGGAATGAGTAGGAACGGTGGCTGCTACTCGCGAACAGGACAAAGGGATGTAGCTACATCGCGATTACCGGCAGAGGGGAGCGGGAGCGAGAAGCACTGCCTTTCACCTAGCTTGGGGTAAAATAAAGAAGCTTAACAGTACACGCAAGACGTTAGTCCGAGCGGGCTGCTGCTACGATCAAGCGAGATCAAGTCAAAAAACACATGTTTAGAGACAGATAACTTAGCTTCTAAAGAAGGGAAACAGCACGAGCCATAGTTTACAGGCAGTAACCAATTGGCCAGTGCTCACCGGCATATAACCGTAGTTACAGTAGTAACTATGGTCAGTAATTACATGGCTGAACCGTAGTTACATTCGTAAACTATGGCCAGAACTTACCACAGCATAGAGTCGTAGTTACAGTAGTAACTTGGCCAGTACTTGCACGGCTTGGAAACGTAGTCACAGTAGCTAACTAGGGCCAGTACTTACACAGCATAGAGCCGTAGTTACGGTATTGACTATGGCCAGTACTTGCAACGGCTTGGAACTCGTAGTTACCAGTAGTAACAGTGGCCAGTACTTACGGCTTAGAACGTAGTTTACAGTAGTAACTATGGCCAGTACTTACACCACTAGAGCCGTAGTACGGTTATTGACTATTGCCAGTGCTAACGCACGGCTATGGAACCGTAGTTACAATAGTAACTGTGACGACGGTGCCTCAAAGTGTCCAGCCAAACGGCTGCACACTAGATAATATAATATGGGAGGAGGATGAAATTCCTCTTGTTAAATGGCCACCATGCAGAGCACAATGCACACAGTGAAGATTGTTTCTCTGCATATCGTCCTATGTGCTTAGGAGTCTAGTACTAGGAGCAGTAAATATAACGATTATAGCGCTACTGGCAAACGGTACCATGCGTTTACGGGAGCGGAGAAGCGAGAGGAGCACTGCCCTCACGGGCTTGAGTTTAAATACCATGAAGCTTAACAGTACAGCACGTTGGTTAGCCAGCGGCTGCTGCTACAATCAAGCCAACCAAGTCAGAACACAAAGTTATAAGACCAGATACTAATAGCTTCTAGAGAAAGAGAACAGCCCCGCATAGGAGCCCGTAGGAACCATGGTTACAGTAGTAACCGGCACATGCCAGAGCACACAGCACCCGCAGTGAAGATGTCTCTCTGCATATATCATCCTAGTGCCCAGGCAGTCCTAGTACTAGGAGCAGTAATACAACGATATAGGCGCTACTGCAATCAGAACCCTATGCTTACCGGGAGGCGGGAGCACTGCCTTCACGCACGCTGAGTTAAAATAATAAAGCTTAACAGCAGCAAGGTGTTAGCCAAGCGGCTTGCTGCTAACAAACAAGCGACCAAGTCAGAAACAAATGTTAAGGACCCAGATAATAGCTTCTATGAAATAGAAAGTACTTACTCTTCACTCTCTGCATCTAAACGAAAAACGACGCTTCTATGAAATAGAAAGTACTTACCTTACTCTCTGCATCTAAACGAAAAACGGGTTTAAAATATGACACTCTGGGCTTTCCATACTAAATTGAATGAGGGACGCAGTCAAAGCTGGGACTCAAATGCTAATGATAGCTCGGGCACAACGCCACAAGCAGAACTTTCAAAAGGGCAACTTTTTGGGAGAGGAAGCGGGAACACTGTCGTCACCAGAAAGTCTAAGCCAACAAAAAATAAGACGACAATCAGGACAACTTGGCTGGGAGAGGGTGCGGGGACACAGCCATCACCAGCGCACAGCCGGCCACAGCTCCTGGAGGACGTGTTAACGAGCCGTAGCTCCGACTGTCAGTCGCGAAGCTGCACGCGGCCAGCTGCTTGCAGAGAAATCCCTCAGATCAAACGTTCAAACCTGAACGCTGTTGCTACAAAAATGTAGCCCCGGTATCTCGCGCAGCGAGAAGATGAAAGGAACAGATCCTCTGACGACACCGGCTGATATAGCCGGTGTCACGTGGGTCACAGGTGACTTTGTTGTTATTGGTACTCGAGCTGCGCATGCGCGCGATGGACATATCCAGTGCTTAAAGCACCGCCTCTGGCGGTCAGTAGGGACAAAATAGAACAGTCGGGCATTGTTTCTGATAGGGCCGTGGGTCCACTTTTCCGGTATTACGTCATATCGGACGCAAATCTGGATCAGCTCCGTTGTACTCCCGTTTTTGGAGATTTGGGTACGGAGGAAAAGAGAGAGGGTTTTGTTTTCTGACACTTTGTGAGTTCCCTTACACACCGGGGACACATATTTATGTATACAAGTACAAGACATCAAAAAGTGTATTTTGCATGATAGGTCCCCTTTTTAAATCAATTTCAAAACGTTTATGCAGCTAAGTTACAGCAATAAAACAAAAATACATGTATATGATTGATCTGATGGTTAAAGTGTGTCCTCCTCCTGTAGGGCTTGCTCCGCTTAGTTGAACATATTAGTCTTCAGATGATCAGACAGCCGTGTTCCGGTCTGCGGAGAATTAACTGTCTTGCAGTAATCCTTGTAAACATAGCCGTAATCCCCCTCTGGATCCCAGACAAGATAATCAATGGCCCACTGTGGAGAGTGATTGATAAACAGCGGAGCTTTGGTACACCGGGAAAGGTTGCGTTTACGGGTGTGCAATTCTGACCTGAGGTTTGTTGTCCTCTCTGGGTCCTGCAGGGCCACGTGGAGGCTGTCAAGGAACTCCTGGAGAAGGGCGCTGACCCCAACCTGAAGGATAATGCTGGGTGGACCCCTCTGGTAAGTCCTATAAACCTAGTGATGCATCCGAAACCTTTATTTGTTGTGTGGAAAACCTCAGCCACATAAATATTGATATTTGTAATTAACATTTAGACTCTGGTGGGTTCTTATTTTTCCTTTTTGAAAAGAGATTTATGGCATTTATTGACAATAACATATGCTTTTTACATGCAGGTACCTCATGGATTGTTAGACTCTAATGGCGAAATTTCCCACACAAAGGCCCAGTTAGTGCAGCTTTTCATTCTGCCTTAGATTTACATTTGTTATTTATCTTCTCCAGTAAACCAACATGCTAAGTTGTAATGCAAAATGTTGTTGCTGAATACCTCTATTTATTAATTATTCTTTTCCATTTTAGACCTTTCCAATTAACAATTTCTTCCACCCCTGCACTTCCATAATACTTTTTCGTGATGTGGTTTACGGCTCAGCTAATGTTAGGATTTCAAAGTTTAAAAAACGTCCGAGACTTGAATACAGTACAGTTGCTTAAATGGCTTCAATCTTATTACTGGATAAAAAAAAACCTCTTTTATTTTGCTACTACCTTCAAGTTCAAGTAGCAAACATAACCTTTCAAACATTCGCTTTTACTAAGCGGCTTCTCTCTTTCATGTTAATTATAGAACTGCAGGTTAGGATATTATTGAAGTTTGCTTCTTAGAAAGTTTTCTCTTTATGAGTTGAATTCTACAAAACGATTGAAGTGTGATTGAGGTGTAACATCTGATATATTTTCAAAATACCCCATGAAAGAGAACTGCAAACCCAGTCTAAAACACTCCCACAAAAAGATTCAAGCTCATGTCTGTATTTTAAACGATTCAAAGTCTTTGAAAGCACAGCAGGATGACTTCTAAGCATTTCTACTCTTTGTTCCAGCATGAGGCGTGTAACCTGGGTCACCTGCCGGTTGTGGAGGTGTTGGTCTCAGGGGGGGCCCTGTTGAATACTCCCGGCTACAGAAATGACTCTCCACTCCACGATGCTGTGAGGAACCGACACCCAGCCATCGTCAAACTGCTGCTGCAGCAAGGCGCCTCGCAGAACGTACTGTGAGTAACCTCAAGGGTTGTTTTCTTAGACCAGGAGTTTAGTGGGTCCTCAGGTTGAAAAAAGGGTTTTACATGTAAAACGATTCACACGGATGGCGTGTTTTGCTTTGCACCGGCCTTTGAGTTGTCCCTATCAATGATCCCAGACATTCATTTGTAAGAACGTTCAAGTGTTTCAGGTCAGATGAGAGTCAGACCTAAAAACAAGATTTTTGATTTGATATTTTTCGAAATGGAGCCTTTAAACTGATACTTGTCATCCCGGTACTTGCCACATGAAAACATTTTAGAACATTAGAGCAGCATAAGCCACAGTTTGTATCACTGCAATATAAAATGCAGCACTCGTCACACAATAGAAAACATAGTGGTGCACCGCACTTAAAGGGGCCGAGACTGCCAAGGCACAC